CATGTGCTCACCATCCCCCCCCCGCCCCCCAGCTTCCTATTTGGAAGCAGTGGATCATGGGCAACCTCGGGATGCGAAAACATCAACGGAATCCAATTTCCCCAAAATTCGTAAAGCCTGAAGTGCGAAACCATCAGCAGGGATCGAATTTCCGCAAAACTACCAAAATCTGAGCAACCTACGGCCCGCACTCCCCATACTGGGAATTTGGGGGAAGTCGATCCCTGCCAAGGTTTTCACATTTCAGACTCGACGAAATTTGGGGAAATCGGAGCCTGACGGCATTTTGTCAAGCTCGGATGCGAAAACAAGGGCAGGGATCCAATGTCACCCAAATTCCCAAAACTGAACACTGATGGCCCCATAGATGCCAGGATTTTAGGACATGTTGGTGACCATTGCAAAATTTAAGGCTTTACAGATTTTGGAAATTCGAGCCTCGCGGCATTTTAGCGATCTGGGACTAGATGAACAACAAATATCAGCAATATGTTCAATATTAGCTGTCACTGTAACAGTACAAGTACGCATAGCGGTAGTATTGCTTTTGGTAGTAGCTATTGTTGCATAGATTTGGTTGAACTTTGTCGCCCATCGAGGCCTTAAATCTGCTTCAAGACAGTTTTTGCTAAAACTATAGTACCTCGCTCATGGCCTGACAGAGACACAGGAACTCTCACATTGAATACTCACAAAATGATGCTCCTGCATCTTTGAGTATCAACTGAAGGAGCTTTCTTATTCCTGCTCATGGTTGGAAAAGAAGGCGCGTCTCTTCTGTCTTCTGAATACTGAGAGTACAGAAAAGCTTCTTTTGTTACGTAAAGATGGGAAGGCTCCCTTCTTACATATCAACAGATACACATCGCTGGGCTAAGTTACGTGTACTATATGGATAAACAATCAGATACTACCTTGCGTCATGTTCCTTCATCGAGCGAAGCTGTGCTCGATATGTAACGGAAGTATTGTGCAGCTTTTCAACCCCTTACGAGATGTAGAGTAGAGGGGTTTCCTTCTTCGGTATGCGGCTAAAGCGAGAGGACAGAAGCCATTTCATGTCTATTGAACGATGTAGCAGCTCACCTGATTCCTTGCTGGTAGTATGGCGCAAAGGAGTCTGGTCATTCGGTTGCATGAACCAACTGGTTTTTTGCTTCTTACTAAGAGAGGAACATATGTGTCCTAAATCCCACGAGGCACGGTGTGCTTAGATATTTCTTACGAGGAGAGGAAAGGTTGATCTTTACTTGGACTTTGCTGTTGTTCGTATTTGGAATATCTGGGAGTGAGACCACTACGTTTCCGAAACATCCACATGCAATTTTGTGATATATGCAGACTGTAAAAGCTCGCCGAGTTCTAGCCACTGATACGGGATGAAAGAACGTTTTCTGGTGCTTGTTTGTGGTGAAAGAAGATCTTCAATGAAAGCAGTTTAACACTAGAAACAATCGAGTGCTTTGGTGTTTTTTCTAAGATTGAAAACGGCTCAAGTGTCTCTTCCAATCAGAGGGGACGCAAAAGTAGATTCTGCTTTGGGTTTGGGGTGGTTTACGTATACCGAAAACAGCACAAAAAAGTAGATGTCAGTATATAAACTGCAGAAACCACCGTAGATGCCGTTGGCTTCCAAAAGTTTGCTCTAGCGATCAGCTGGCAAGAATGCTGGGGTGGATCATTGGGGGCTGGACCATCTATACATATAATTACACATATATATATATATATATATACATATAGAGTCCATGCCCATGTGCCCACTTTTCTGTTTTGCTGTAAAGGGAAAGTCAACAACCAACTGTACGGCAGCCCCTGCCTCCTATGTAGCTTGCTCATCGAATGTCTTTAACAGAAAGAGCAAGGCAGTGTTCCCTCGGAAACAGCACTGCCAGGCAGCATTCACACAAAATCCTAAGTTCCAATATTTTCGTGGAGATGCCAAAACCACTTTTGAGTTTTTGGAATTTGGATTCTTGGAAATTTCTGGATTTCCGTGAGAAACCAAAAATCCGGAATTGGTTCTGGCATTCCACAAAAATATTGCATTTTTGGATTTTGCAGGAGTTCTGCTGTCGGTGGCTGCACGCGCGTCCTACACGCTTGTGTACAGGGACTTGTGCGCGGCTTTTCGATCTGGTGCAGATCATGAGAGGGCTTATATAATTCTATGCAATTTTGTTCCAAAGGTGTTGTTCTCAGAAAGGTCTTAACTAGAGAATCGAGGGATATGTTTTTCAAGAGCGGGTGCTTCTGAGACGCTGCAGGGCTCACCCAGCTGGTGGTCATTAGCTGCGATCCCCGAAGTTTCAGCCGCAAATTTTAGCCAGTGAATATGCAGGTTGCCTAGCATCTAGCTGACAAAGTCAATGTTGATGATGAAGCTGAACAGTCGTTCAGTGCAGTAAAAATGCCGGATACATAGGCAAACGAGACGTAGCAATTGCAAAAGTAGCTTGGGAAGCATTTAGACAGTAAAAAGATGTAAAAAGCAATGTCACGTTGAGAAGGAGAGAGTGTAATAAATACGAACATGCGCCGAATTCATGTCATGACACATGCTGTTCATAACGTCAGCAGCATGTGTATGAGTTTGCTTCAGTTTTAACGGACTATGTAAATAGAGAATATTAGTTAAAGTAATCTAGTTAATGACAAGGCACAGAGGAAGCATAAGCTACATAACTACATATGGGCGAAGTCTAACTAATCATATGCAGCAGAAAAGTTGCCGTGCCATTTCATTCTGATTTTAAGTACACTGAGTCATATTTAATCAGCAGTAGAGGTGTTAAGCAAATACGATGAAGTGTTAGAAAAGATTTTTTCTTTAAACATGAAGCAATAAGCACATGCTACCCACGAAACAAGTAAGTTAAATATGTCACATGTTTGTTAAACTTGGTATTGAACATAGTGACATAGTGACATAACCATACATAACCCGTCATGGAACATCTACTGGTCTTCCAACATAGGCTTCCCGCAAATACTAGGCAAACACTAAGCTGTGACGTGGCATAATTCTTTGTGGCACTTGTACATGGACATGTACATGTGCATAGCTATATTACAAAGTACATATAGCAGATGTATATACACATCGGTCTGTGGATGTATTCTGTTTTGCTCCCCCCCTCACGTATCCACATTTTGGGTGTTTTTGACGGAGCAGTAGTCCGGAGTCCGGATGCAAAGGTGCGAGCAATGTGGGGGTTCTTTAGATTGGTGATATAGCTCGCACGCCACATGATACAACGATTTGGCAAGTTTAGGCAATGCTGGACGCCTGGTGTAGTTTCCAGCATGTGTTTGGGGGAGGCAAATACACTCTTCATATCACATTCAGCGTCATTAAAGGAGTCTCCAGTCAAGTATAGTTTAAGTAATTACTGGAGACAGGATTGGGGTGATCAACCAAACAACAAGAACTACTTGTACGTAAACCAAAGATTTCGGAGAAGTTTTCATAGATTCGCTTGCCACTTACAGCAGATTCTACTTGGCCTGAAATTGCCACCTGGATTGACGTGCCCGTACAACTTGTTCTTTTTACGGTATTGGCTTAACAAAAATGTTGTTGAATCTAACATGATCCCACATCTCACGGGGTAGTAAGACAAGCTATCGTAAAACCGGATCTTGGGTTTTCTTCCACTCTAATCAAATACATAGCTGACAAACCAGTGGCGGATGCCAATCTCATCGTCTGTTATCAAGAATGGGGGCTGGCTTGACGCAATTGTACATTGCGAAAAAGAGCCAATTCCAATGCAGTCATGTTTGTGTTAACCTGCCACAACAGTGCCCTCTCTGCACGAGTGACAACAACATTCGTGCGGGTGCGACATGGGTGCTCAGCATTTCTTTTGCATCCGCTTTGCAACAGACATACACAACGTGGCAATACTGGCTACAGTGACAGGATTATTTGATACACCAGTAACCACAATGCTTGTCATCGCGACTGCCATTACCATCTTTGTCACAAGCGAATCGAATCAGTTTTTCATGTTGCAACTAAAGCAGCAAAACAACCAGGCCACCGATTCTCTAACAAGGGCAGGGATGGTGTTTGGGCATGGAAGCAAACTTCATCTTGGGTGGTTATCTCTACACAAATATCGAACGGATGTTTGCATGCCGCTATTCAAAAAGCATGCATACAAGTACCTATGTGTGTATATACACCTGCTATATGTATTTCGAAATATAGCTATACACTTCCGTCGATCCGTCTCAGTATGGGACCTACCCGGGTTGAACGGACGCTCAAGTAGCGTTTTACAGTGGGATCTCCTTTGTAGAGAACCCATGCTACGTACCTTCACGGCAGAGCGACACACAGGTGTAGGATTGTAGTGACAACTCACTTATCCTCAGACTCGGCCTTCGCGCCAGCTCGTATGGTGATGCGAGGCGGGTTTCAGCGTTGCTCCCAGCCCGCAATTTCTGTCCCCGGATACAACATGATCCCACCCGCACAGAGGGAGAGGGCAAGGGAGGTTTTCGCAGGAAAATCAACATCAAGACTGGCGACAGGCAGTCTTCTGCCGAGAAAAGCAAAGGCAGCCCGTCAGCAGCCCATCACTACCAGGGTTTCTATACAAGCGATTCATCAGCAGGTTTGCGTGAGGAGTTGCTGAAGAGTCCGCTCCTTTGTTCAGAGAAACTTGTTGAATTGTGCGCTCAACTTCCGACTGGGCCCTAAGAACTTGCTGTCAGCGTGACCGCGCCTGGAACTGGCAACAACCTTTAAGATGGCAACCGGTTGCACGGAAAGAACATGGCCAGGAGTAACAAGGCACATGCGTGATGCTCACATTGCTCGCACATGCGTGGCTGCGCGCACGTTGTCTTCACATCCGACGTCTCGAAGGGTGGCCGACCAATGACCATGGTGTAGATGATGACACCCAGCGACCAAATATCGACCTTTCACACATGCTCGTCTGCCACCAGTTTGGACATGGCTCCAACATGCTTCGAAACAACCCAGCCTCAAACGAGTGCCCGTACTTGCCTTCCAAGATTTCAGGTGCAATGTAGTTCGGAGTGCCTGCCAACGCATTGCCAAAAGTGGTGAACTTTGGGAATTCATGGCTGGCAAAGAAGCGTATTCTCCAGTTGCCAGACCAGCTGCCACAGATAGTACGCTTCCTCTCTCCATCGTATTCGAGCTGTGCCGCTAGGCCAAAGTCACCCACCTGCCGCTCAGGACGGTGCCTCGGATGGAGTGAATTCCGCCCTTGCCTTCAATCGCATGGAGTGGTCAAGGAATAGGTTGCCCAACCTGAGTTCATGAAGCTTTCGCTCTCATATTAAGTCATCCAGCTGTTCGCAGGCTCTAAAGCAGCGGGCCCCGGACTTCAAATCCCTGTGAATGACTCGTCGACGATGCAGGTACTGCAAAGCGAGGATGAGCTCGTAGACGTAAAAAATCGCCTGGTGCAGTTAACTAGTGCATTGCTGCGAACATCGAGGTCACCCGGCCTCTGGTTCTGCAAGCCGTTTAGGGGGACGGCGCCTCATGAATTCGTTCAGAGTCTGGTTTGCACCTTGGCCCGGGCTGTGAGAACGCACGACACCAGCAGTTGAGCGTTCCTCAGAGTCTCAGATCTGCGCAGAGCTCCAGCATGATGTAGACGTGGTCGGCGTCCTGCGGAGCTGCCACTGCTGCATCTTGTTCGAAGCTCGACAGGTCCGCCATCCTCGAAGTAGTCGTAGAACTTGACAACCTGCCAGGGTGTGCAGGTCGCCTGCAGTTTGCACGCGCAGAAAACGGCAGCGCCTTGTCATGGCAAAGCTCCCGATGTATGGCAATCTCTGACCTCTGAACTCTCGGGACTTGCTCTACAGCCTTCTGTCGAATGTCTTTCAGAGCGATATGCCGATTTCTCCTCGTTGTGGCTTGTCGCGCATTCGTGGCCGTAGCTACTTTGATTTCTTTGCCATCCACAGACAGGGAGCATCAGGGAGCAGCATCACCAAAACCTTTTGTCAGCATCCGGTGGCTGCATCGCACCTCCACGTGGCAGGACTCCGGCATGCTGAAGCAATTGAAGGGCAGGCGATGCTTTCCCACCAACCATCAGGACAAACACAAACAAACGTTGGAACTTCCCCCCCATTCTGAGCATCCACTCTGGATGGCGGTGCAGTTCAAAACATGTTCTTTTGCAACAAGCATGGGTACCTTCGCGTCATTCATGTGTAGAATGCTATCTTGGGCAGTGTCATAGCGTGGCTTCAATCACCTATTCGTAACGATGGGACTTAATGTCAAGTCTTGCTTAATAAACCTGGTATTTGCGACACTTTCGCAAAATCCTCACCAAACATCCAAGACAAAGAACTTGGAGAAATGCATGTTCCCAAACATCGTCCTGTTGACGAAAACCACACAAATACCGACATTTTCAGGCTTTCGACCAAAAAACGTCCAAAACAAACACGACACACCCCGCACGTGCTGCAGACGCACGTGCTGTCTTGTTCTTGTTCTTGTTGTTCTTGTTGTTGTTGTTGTTGTTGTGGCTGTTGTTGCTGTTGCTGTTGCTGTTGCTGTTGCTGTTGTTGTTGTTGTTGTTGTTGTTGTCACGCCCGCCACGTGCAGAGCACGCTCGCGCAGCATTCAATTGAAAATTGTTGTTGTTGTTGTTGTTGTTGTTGCTGCTGCTGCTGCTGCTGCTGCTGCTGCAGTTGCTGAAGCTGCAGCTGTTGTTTGCTGTTGCTGTCGTCGTCGTCGTCGTCGTGGCGGCTCGCTCTTCATTTCGTCCCCCAGCTGCTCAGGTTCTGCTGCTGCTTCTTCTGTTCTTGTCTGCACAGCAATCCGACTGCCACAGAAAGCATGTGCCTGAGCTTGGCATGTGCACGGGGCTTCGTGATGGACGCCTTCGAGACAATCTTGGCCTGAGCACGATCCGTGTCAGTCTGTACAGGTCGAATGTAGTGTGGGGCTCGAGAGCGATGCTGCAAAGATCTCTTTGGTCTCGAGGTCTTGGACTTCGTAGCACTTTGCGAAGCCGCCCTTCCGATGAACGACAAACAAAGACCAGGATGCACCTAGCTCACCCGGTAGAAAGACAATGCCGCCGAACAGAGTCGTATTATCAACGAGCAGCTCTGAGAATGTCAAGAGGTAACATCAGAGCTGAGTGGGTAGGGTGCAAGTCTCCCGGTTCCGTCCTTGCCCAGGAACCTTCCTTTCTGATATCTCGCAGGAAGACCAGACCTGGCCAGCTGCTTTTGAAGTTAGCTGTTCACTTCACAGCAGTGTTTAAGTTCCCTGCAGACCCATGAAAGAGATGCATCGAATGTAACTACAAGGAATCAAAGCAGTCGACATTTGCAATGCCGGGCTTGGTCTTGTTCCTTATGATCAGTCTTGGTTCTCTCGCTTTTTCCTGGTCCCACGCTTTGTGCATGCTTTCTCCTGTCTGGACTGCTGGTTGTACCCCGGCATCCAGACCAAAAAAAGTCGAAACAGATTGTGCAGGTGCCTTCCCCGGCAGGACCTGTCCTCGATGATATCTAGGCTGTGGAGGTCGCCATGCGATCTGCTTCCACCATACCTCATCACCGATTAATTCGGACCAAGTGTTGCACAAGGCTTCCGTCTCACTTCGAACGGATTGAGCTCGCAGCACGCCGGTTCTCATTGCAGGAATAATGGGCATGAATTACTGGAGCCGAGCCATGCCATCATTGGAACTCAAGAGAAACACTCCCTCAACTGGCCACCTACATGCACTGCTTCTCCCGTTCCACCAATCAATGTTGCTCTGGCCATGCAGGCCGTTTTCAGCCGCAGCGCTTGGCGAGGCCACAGGGCCAAGGCCAAGGCGTCAGCCGAACCGCTCAAGCAGCGTTTGCGGCCGAGGGCCGCGCGCCGTAGCGACCTGAAGGGGCTCACATGGCAGTTCCATGCGCGCTTGTGTCGTAAGTCGTAGAGAGGAATCTAGAACTCGCAGAGTCCCTTGCCTTCTTTGGGTCTGGTCCTGCACCTCACAGCACGTCAGCGCAGCTTGAACCGTTCAGTCTGCGAAAATCTTCAGATTTCGAATCGCTCGGCACCAGGCCACAGGATCGAACGGGGCTCCGGAGGGGAGGTGAGCTACTCGACCTCAGTCCGTAACTTCCGTGACTCCCCCGTCTGATCTCTTCTCCTCAGGCAGCGGCGATGCCCTCCGTCGTTTTGTTCGACTTCGGCTCCTTCCAATATCTAAATTAGGGTCCCTTGTTGGGTCCCCAATATAGTACGGCACCCTTATAAAAAGGACCCCCAAAAGGGACCGTAATTTAGAGAACTACCCTCATAATAACTCACTATGCGACACACATCACATCAAGCTCGTGAGTTCTTTTAGGATGGGAGGGGTCCTTTGCCCCTTCATCCCACGCTTGTGAGCCAAACTGCCCACTGCTGGCGGATACCTTTCCAAATCGCGGATCTACCCCCCTCTTGGCGACGTGCGAAGCTGGATCATGCTTGTGTAGGGCACTCAGGGTCCCTGATCGGAAGTCCATTCCGCATGTCTTTCAGCATCAGCATGACCTCGTAGCATGGACCAGAGATGACAAGAGACAATCAAGGACCTCTTCGATCATCGAGTTCCTTCCTGCTGAAAACACACACACACACACACACAATGACACCCCGTGTACACTCACAGAAGGGTTCATGCCACAACCAATTCCCGTTGCCTTCATCTGAAGCCGGAAGCCAAATCTACTACGTCTTTTAGGAGCATTATCGCCCGTTGCTCTGCTGAACTGCTCCGAAGGGCATCGAGCCCACGCTTGAATGCCATTGGCTTGCTGCTGAAGCTGCCTTGCTGCTCAAGTATGTTGGGGTGTCAGACGAAAACAGCTTAATTACAGGTCCTTTCTGGGCAATCCAGACTGCGAGAATCCCGCTCTCAGTCTGCAAGGAGAACGGTCCGACGAGGACCCGGCAAGGGAGGACGGTCTGTTCGAAAGTTGGAGATGCTTCTGTATCTGCCTGACACAAACACGTACCGACGTACCGAACTCGCAGACATTTACCAACTCCTAACCAAGTAAGCCTCAGATCCTTCTTGCGGTCATCTCTTCTTGAGAGTACTTCTGCTAGTTTCGCTGCTGCCTGCCGAGTGCCAGGTGAGTGGGTCAAGTCGCACTTCCCCTACCACAACACCCGAATTCCTGGCCAAACGTCGTGTATCACGACTGCTGCTGCACCCCTTTTTTGTGCTTCGATGGGTGTGCGAAGAAGCCGAAGACCACGGACGTGTCGAAGCGACATCCTGCATGCCCTGTGAGTTGCTGCGATTTCGCCATGCCGAATGTGGTCAACATTGCAACCGACATCCGAATTACGCGACTCTGGACAACTGGTGGTCTGTTTCGGCACCCCTCCTGGGTATCCAAGTTGAACTTCTTGGCAAGCTCCTCGACCTGGGGCAGTGCGGCACCTACCCTTCTCTGCTCCTGATGACACGAGGTCGAAGGGAGTATGTCAAAATTTTCACACACACACACAGCACATCGGCCCAGGCATCTTTGTCCGGGGTCAGCGTGCCACGAAATTTTCCGTCCTCCTGGGCAGTCCCGACCAGTGGGCGTGTCGCAGAGAGCATGCACCATCAAGTGTCCACGAGGTCGGTAACAACCCTCGGAGCTGTGACAACGAAATACCGAACAACACGGTTGAAACAGCTTCAACTACAAGTAGCCTTCAGGGCTACACGAAGACCTGGTGCTCCGCGTTTGACTAAACTAAAAGGGTGCAGGATGGCGCAGGGCAACACATCCCGTACCGCACGCCCAGATGCCGAGATATGCCGAGGACACTGCCATCTCTCTGATTTTCACGCGCAGCAAGCCAGCCGGGTTCCTGTGTCGGTGGCTCGCAAAGCCGGCATTCTCTACTCATGTTCAATTTGACATGATCCAAAGCGCAACCCCTGCCTTGCACCCCCAAGGATCTCCCAAAGAGCTTGCATGTCTTCTTGCGAGGTGTCGCGTCTCTTCTTCATTTGGCCAGCCAAATCCCTTCGCACAACGAGCAAAGCGCTGGAAAGCTTTTTTTGCCACTATGACTCGGTGGTCGAGCGTTGCAGAACAGGCCAATACCGGAGAACAAGACTGACTTGATGAACCTGACGATGCGGTCATCCAGCTTGAAGCGAACTTGCAGCTCCTGTGACCGCTCGAATACCGGGCATAGTGACAAAGCGTGAGTAGTTGTCAAACATCCGCCTTGATGCTTTGCTTGACATCCTTCTCATCGTCTTGAGGAGGCGGCTGCGGCGCCTGGAAGGAGTGCGCATCCGACCTCGCAGATACAGTCCAGCTTTCTTGTCCAGTTTGTCGTGTCTGGGGGTGTTCAGAAAACAATTGGCAAGTCGTCGACGGTCCCGGCAACATGCTTTGGATGTACGGGTACTGCAGCACCTGTAGCAAGATCGAAACCGTGCTTGCCTTTTGGCTCCGATTTTTGCTCAGTGGAAGACCGATGCCGCCGCCACCGTTGGTGTTCCCGCAAGCACCGGCACTCCCATGGGATTAGGTGCAAACGCCTAAGAGGTCGGCTATGACAAGTTGCTGATGCTCAGGCTGAGGTCCAAGCAGAGTCCCCAAATGCATGTCCTGCAAACATGTCTGCTTGGCAAACCTCTAAACTCCAGATTCTAGATGGATCCCGGCGGATTCCGAACATGACATGACCATCCGAACTCCTGGCGGCACTGTCACCAATGCAGGAATGCTACCAGCTGCTGGCACTAGTCCTGCTCGAAGCACCACCGTGCCATGTGACGTCTACAATACAATGCGCAGCTGCACGAACCAATGCAAGTTCAAGCTCCGAGCAGTGCTTGTGGGGAGTTTGCAGGTGCTGTGATGAAAGTCCTGGTAGGCCGGGAACGGGGAATACAGGCCTTGTTCGGACATCAATGACGCCGAGAAGGCCCCAAGAAACTCGCCGGGTGCCTGGCAGACCGGTGCCTGCCATATCTTTTCGCCTAAGTGCCGTGAGCCTTCACACTAAACAAAACGGTGCTGATTCGGAAGTCGACCTTCAAGCACATGGCCCGATGCAGCAATGGCGATCAGTGGCGGCATTTCACATACACCGCCGTTAGAACACGATCATCTCTGCTTTGCATGCTTCCACAAGTGCACGTTGCATTGCATCAAACGCAGTGCCCATCTTCGCAGGATACGACGGCTGTGGCATGTTGTAGCTTCAACTGTGTTTCGAGCCTCAGGCAATGTGGGGGCAAATTTCGTCGGCCTGTAACAAAAGTGCCACATCCATGGATTGTCCTCCATTTGTCGACAAACCGTGCCGTGCAGCACGCAAACAGCCCTCTTTTCACGCTTGCGATCCCACTGCCGAAGAAAGCCTTGCTTCCTCCACCACCAAGTCCTCTCCGTCATCTTCCTCGTCAGGGCCTTCTTGCGACAGGCCCACCATCTCAGCACCCTGCGACTGTGCGAACAACATCATACACATGACGAAAGTATCACGTGCGTTAATGTGCTCCAAGCGGAAGGTGATCATCTCGCCGGAAGGCTTGATCGCTATGGTGGCGCACAGGTCATCCAATGGTGTACGCAGGCCCTCCGGCTCCTGTCCCGCATATATGCCTGCAATGTTTTTCAGCCATACACGCCTGACCTCAGCTTCAGAACTGAAAAGTTGGACAGATCATGGGGAACCTTGCTCGGTGCAGGTAGCTCAATGTCGTTACCGCTAAGTAGAGAGACTTGTGATTCAAAGGTTTAACAGCTTGTCCGTGGTATGGCCTGTACGTGTGCATCTATGCGTGACCCCTTCTTGTATGCGCATCGGAACACAAAGCTGCAAAAGCTGATCGATAATGGTCTGTTCTCTATACGCAAGCAGTCACTCCCAGATTCCCTACCTGCAGTTTGTTCAATCCAGCATCATGTATTTACATGGGAGAAGAGCACGAATACACTTAAATACACTCACATCCAGCCATCCACCCACCCACCCACCCACCCAGCCAGCCAGCCAGCCAGCCAGCCATCATTTCATATATCCAGGAATGCACGCCTCCGTGCCTGCCTGCCTGCCTGCCTGCCTGCCTGCCTGCCTGCCTGCCTGCCTGCCTGCCTGCCTGCATACCTAATTATATGCCACATGCACACTAATAGTACATTGAAGCTTGCATAGTCATTACTCGCAAGCCATGCAAACACCTCAAACGCTAAACCACGGCGTTCAAATACACCGCTTGAATCGCCTCCACCCGTCGAACTTCCCGAAACAACATTTCCCATCAGATCACATGGAGGGGGGGTGAGCATATCTGCATGTACATACTGAATATCTAAGAGTTCTATAAAGTCTATAACGTTACGTGAATACATATTATCCTTGCCCTATCCTGCACTGACCCAATCAGCCGGTGGAGCTGCGGAGAGAGAAATGAAGCATCAGAAATTTCGTCTTTGAGCTGTTTCGTACATGACTTTGTTTTCAATTTGAACTACTAAAGTTCAAATTTGGTAACCTCCGCGCACAGACAAACTTCTGGAGAAATGCAGCCAGTTCTGTCTGCGACCACTTCTGTGTTTTCCATAGTCAACTATACAACTCTACAAGCAGTGTCAGGCAGGAACGAAACTTGTCGCATAGGGTCTTCATTGCCTGATCTTTGCACATGTCCCAACTATTTGGCCCTACGCTCTTGATGGCAATTGCCAAACGATGTTATTTTCCGGCATTAACCCCTTGTCGGAAAAGCTGCGGTTGTAGCAGTCTGCAAACGTTTCTTATCCGTGTTAGGTCTACGAATGAAGGTTGCGGGCATGCCGAATATTCTACGCAAGCTGCTGTGTTGGAAAGCGTCGCTTCTCTTGTACATGGCTCGAGTGAGGTAAACAATCTCCAAACCGTACAACAGCTTACTTGTATAAAGGCATCGAATACGTTTAGTTTCCATTTTTGCTGGCACATGTTGCTTTCCAATACGAGCTGAGAGTAAATCAGGTGCGGCGAACCTCTTGAATCTTATTCAATGTTCCATGTTGAATGTTCATCTCTTCGCTTAGCTCGTTGCCCAGGTAGCCTCAAAGCTCTTCGTTAATGCGGAGCCGTGTCCGCAGTGAGTCCTTCCGTCATTGTTCATAGGGGTCGTCACGCATTTCCTCTGTTGAGGTGCAAACCATTCTGCTGAAAGTGTTTGCTGTCACATTGAGAAGCTCGTTCGGTCCTCGGTTTGATCGCGTGAAAAGAACGGTATCACAAGCATAATAAACCATATTGTGGTCAAAACCTGGAAATCGATTGTTAACAACATGGCAAGTGACAGCTTATCTGATGTTGTGTGTACACAAATCATGAAAAGCACGAACAAAAAGGGTGAAAGGGGACATCCTCGACGGATGCCTGCTGATTGTATTCTCGTTCGGGAGGCACCGTATTCGCCTTTGACATAAATCTCTGGCTTTCCATAGCCGTCTTGTATCACATCTAAGCCCTGATCAGAAAACCCAATACACCTAAAAAATCAACTTATCGAAAGCATTTTCCAAATCAAGCACTGCAAGACTCAGCGTTGATGGAGTTGCTTCTGCGAAGTCCTGAATACGTCTAACAATATCGATCGCATGAGCTGTCGACATAGCGGTTCGGAAACCGAACCGAGTCTGTAGGAAACCAAGCAAACAACCGGGGCCGAATGGCATCGTCACGGAGCTTTGCTAGTGTTGGATACAGATAGCCTGTTGTATTTCCTCTCATTGATCATTGCTTGATGGAATGATAAGACGGTGCGCGCATTGCACTTTCGATTGCTTCATAGAATTTCTTCTAGAGAAAAATTCTAATGGGCGCACCATTGTCTTCAACACTCTCCTGACAGGAGCGTCTCCAGTGTTCACGCAGGATATTCAGCAAAAGTTGCCGCATGTTGAATGTTGAATCAATGGTACATGTGTCCACGTCTGATTCTTCATTTTCGCAAATTGATGCACGAGCTTTTTTCGTCGTTCCATGACTGCCTTTCACATTTTTCTGAAACTTGTCATCAGTGCTGTTTTCAACTCTGCCTATAAAGTCTCTCCGCTCATGCGCCCTTGCATCGTTTTTTGCAATTTCCTTGTTCGGCTGTCTGGTGTCTTCGTTCGTAGCACCGTTTGCTCTCATTGCGTGCTCTGATCTTTTTCCAAGTGTCTTTAGACAGGACAACTGTGCTTGTCTGTTGTCCGGTGGAAGTCTTTCCAAACATTTCGGTCGTGAGGGGTACAGACATCATGTCATTGCCGGTCAGATTCTCGCTGCAGTATTTGTGGTATTTCACCCATCCCTCTTTAGTTGGTTTTGTCTAGCAGCCTTGTCTTTATCGTGTTATCTGGAGATGAAAGCGGATATCTTGGTTTGGGTCTGTAGCACGAAATGGTTAGAATCAAACTAAGGTTCCTCAAGAATAGAGTACACAACGTCATGGGGGCCCGTG